AAAAGTTTTGAGCTCTTATGGCAGGCCTTTAAGAATGATTGACAGAAACATCTTTTCAATTGGCCCTCGTCTACTTCATCTACATTATACTGCAGCTCCTCGGCTCTAGATATATTTTCGACTACATTCTCGGTAGCTCATAATTTTATCGAGTTTAAATCTGAAATCAAGTGCTGCAGTCTCCGTCTCTCGGCACTCTTAAACTTTTTCTGCAAAATTTCCCAAGCTTTACTTTCCTTGCTTTTATGAGGTCTTAAAAACGAGTTTTTTGTCTAAACACTGGACCAACTCATAGCAAACATGCAATCAATTTTCATCTAAAATTTCTTTCTTTTTTTCTTTAAGATGCTTGTCTCTGTTCTACAGTAGGATTATTCCTAAAACTTCATGCAAAGTCTCTCTCATCTTCTTCTCTATTGATAATTTTATTCAGTTTAGAATGTAAAATTCTAGCCTCAAATTGCTCTGCAAAGTGCAAAAAAAAACGTCTTCTTATCCTGATAACATGGTTCTTTCTGATTTATCTTTTTTAAACTTAAACCGTATTGCTCTGAATAAATAGTTTATGCTCCACGTACTTTTCAGTGTCAAAAATTCATTCTAAATTATATCAGCAAACACACTGCATTGCATAATATAGGTAAGCATGTTTCTCATAACCTAAGTCTGACGCAAAATCCAACGATAAGCGTATCGAACAAAACATATCGAGATTCAGCGTACCGAGATTCAACAAAGCTTAAGTTTTCTTCACAGACTTCATACATAGCAAAACAAATAAGCAAAACAGAATTTGGATGATTTTTTGTGGAATTTCTTTTCATTAAATCAGGTTCGAGTTCAGATCTCGCAGTGACGGTTTAAGCATCACCAAAATATCTAAAATTTTATAAAACACCACATCAATTGAATTATCAAATTGAACAGTTCGCCAGTTTTTATCTACCACTTTCTCTTTCTCTCTCTCTCTCTCTCTCTCTCTCTCTCCCACTGTGTGTGGATCTCTTTCTCTCGTAAGCTTCTTTCACCTTTCTTGTGACTCCAGACTTCACTGATCACTGATTCTCTCAATGCCCTGTCTCAATGGCTCTTCATTTTTCTCTGTTGTCCATCTACGAGTTCACTATCTTCTTTGGAACATTTTGTTTGAGATCTGAACTCGTAATATGACATCGCGCGATATCGTGTCACATCGTGCGATATCCGATCATGTTCTTATTTTAAATCAAAAAGTCAGAAGTGACTTCTTTATAAAGTGAGAAGTCATTTCTCCGAAACTTCACCATACTAACTGCTTGTCAAAATCATTTACTTTTCGCCCGTTTCATTTAACGTTAAATTATTGTTTCGACGATTTGTTTCTTGTCTTTGAAAGAACCAGTTCTGTACATTTAGAAAAACTGTCAAGTGAGAAAGTCAATTGCGAAAGTAATGAGAAATTTCTGACCAATTTACACTAAAGGGTGGAATTAAAGATATAGGTTTCACCCTCATACTTTAATCAGGTTGTTCATTAAACTACCTCAAGTTCTGTTTTCTTCAAAATATTTTTAATAAATAAGGCTTTGAAAAAAATTTTGCTTACTTTTAAAGTGCAGAAAAAATATTTATAATTCCGATTGAAAAATAAAATCCTTAAGCAAAGTCTGGCAGGTTTGCACTTGGCCAAAGGTAAAAAAAACTAATCACTACTGAAGTTGTTTACTTCCGACACTTCAAGGCAGTAACTATTTATATAAGCTCAGATATTTTTTTCAGAATTTTGAAGAAAAAACTGAATATTCAAGCTTAGGTTTGTGTTCCGAACACTGAGGAACTTTGTATTCGGGTGCGATTTAGGTTTTTTTTGCATATCCTTTTCCACGCAAAATCAGGTACCACAATTTATGATTGGACTGGGTTGAGTAATACATCTTATTTAAACTTATTCAGTCATTCTTTGAACCACTTTTAAAAAATTCCAAAAAAAATCCCAGTGTCGAGAAAAACTGATTTGAAATTTTTGATTTTTTTTGTCTTAATTCGATTAAATAAAGAAAGCGAGCAGGCTTACAAGCTGAATTATTCCTAATTTAAGAGCTTAATCATAAGTTAGTAAACTAGTTTTTAGAGATTTTAGCGTCTTTTTGGGAACTGAAAACGTCAAAAAATTCAAAAATTATCTGCGAAATCTTTGTTAGTTTTTCTAGACCTTTTTCTGCAAAAAAAATAATTTTTTTTTACTATAGTCTTCTAATTTGCCTAAATTATCTTTTCATGGCAGATTTTTTCAACTTACCAAGCTCTAACTAAGATCCTATGATCGCACCAAAAAACTTCACTAATTTTTGGTGTTCTAAAGACTATGGTCGGAACATTCTGTGCTACTTGCGCAGTAACCGGCTATCTTTTTTTCTATTTAGTCAATTTCTAATTTTGTATTAAAAAGTTTTGTTGATGGAAGTTTTTCATAGCATCTGAAAAAGAATGGAAGTCAAAAGACAAAAAAAGTCACGTGTGATCAGTTTTTGGAATGTTACGGGGGTTTCAAATTTTTTAGTTTGTCCAACTTAACAAATAAACGGGATATTCAACGCTCGAAATGTTGGGTTCTTATTACGCGCTCAAGTGGCAAATCAGTGCATTCCAAACTGATTCGAAGAAAATCATTTCGTCTATTTATAGGATGCGAGGCGCTAAATACATATCTTTGCAATTTACATTAGAGTTTAAACTTCAGGAAAAAATTAGAAGGAATTTTTCTTTCTTTTTGGTCAATTTTCATAGAAAAATTTATTTTAATCAGCGCTGAAATTCAGTTAGAATGAACCTTCAGGGTCTCGTCTTGATATACAAGTGGTATCTTTATTTTTAAATTTCAATCGGAAGTCGAAATATTTTTTTCAAAAAAAAAGAAATCGAAAACCCTCTGAAGATATCGTCTCCTTGAGATCTAAAAAAAAAATAATTTTCAGCGCCCCGTTTTTCATAATCTTTTTTGATATCCGTTTCCAAAGGTTTATCTATGATACTGAAAGCGTAATGCAAGTCATTTGTGCATGGCGGTTTCTCCTGCACTCAAAATAATTTACACCCTAATGTATCCCAATACGACTCAAATTAAACCACTAATTATTTGATATCGGATGTTGGTAGAAAAAAACCAATAAACATTCAAAACTATGATTTGTTAGCCGTTTTTTTCAAACAAAATTTCCAATTTTTTTTTATTAGCAATGGAAACATGCAAAAGTGTGGTCACTAAATAATTTAGATACGATTACTTCACTGCTTTTTGATAGACTATTTGCACTCTTCATATGCAATTTCAACGAGTTTAACATTAAAGTTATCTCTAACCTGCCTAACATTAATTCATGATGATTTATATATAATTATGCGATGCATTTCAAAGACATGAGAAAGCGGAACAATTCTTTTTCAATGTGTTTTCATTCTCCAAATTTTTTAGACAATTTTAATTCGATTAGATTAAAAACTGTCTTTCGAAAATTTTTGCGTGTTCTAATGAAATCTTACGGAAACAAATTTTTTGTGTAATTCAAATGTTTTGACGAAGTTAAATTTATGCATCTCAGTTTATTAGTTATCTTTGGAGGCAAAAAACCCACTTCCAAAATGAAAATTTTGTATAATGAACAAATGCAAAAAATTTCTTATGTTTTAAAAATTTCTTATGTTTTAAAAATTTCAATAGATAAGCATCACTTCGCAAAAATTTCGAGAACCAAAAAAGTTGACTCAATAAGTTAACCCGTGGTTTCTTAAATAGGCCTGAAAAGATAATATTTTTATGAAAAATGCTAAATTATAGTGAAAACAAAGCTACAGTACCTGAAAAGTGTAGTAAAGTTGGATATGAATTTCATTCATTCTAAAGGAGAACCATTTAGAACTTTTTTCTATACTTTAAAAAACTTCGGAAAGCAAAAAAAGGCCAAAAAAGTTTTTTATAAAATCAATTCTCACTCACATTTTTTTGAGGTACTTATATTTGGAAAAAAATACCCAAAAAATGAAAAAGGAGACCCCTGCGATCAAATCCATGACTTATTCAGGAAATACAACACGATGCTAATATACCATATTCTGACTATATTTAAAACTGCTGACGGTAGAAAACTCTAGGGAACTGAATATGAGGACTAAACAAAAATTTGAAAAATGTTAATTTCTTAATATAAAGTAATGAAAACGCTACAGCTCAAAAACTTCACTCTGCTCCTGAATAAACTCCTAATTGCAATTTAAAACCTTAAGTTAGAGTATCCATTAATACAGTCACAGGACAGAAGTTGTAAATCTTAATTTTAGCCAATAAATTGAACCAAAACTTTTTCATGTTTCTGCTAACTTCTCAACAGCTATTGAATATTCAAGGTTGAAACTTTGAAATAAAATGGATGAATTTGTTCCAAAGATTTTAAACGGATAAAAACCATAGAACATTTTTTTCATGCGTCGTTTTAGTGCTTAAAAGTCCCCGCAAACAGCAAAAGTAGTTTCAATTGCTGAACTTGAAAGATATCGTTGGAAAGCTAAGAATAGCAGCTAGGTCTCTGGAGAAAAAAAACAGCTCAGCGATAAAAATAAATCTGACTTAGATTTTTGCCATTTAACAACACAAGTTGCTGAATTTTCAGCTAACTTTATTCTTCTGTCTAAGAACTTAGCAAAATTTTGTTTCGGTTTTACTTGAAAAGAAATTCAGCTGAAATCTTGAGCTTTCAAACGATTACTTTCAAGTCCAATATTTCAAACTGCTTTTGTTGCTTACGGGAACTTTTCGGCACTAAGAACATCTCTTTGACGCCCTGTGATTGAAGCGCCAACGACGACTTGAAAACAACATTTTACGGTTTCTTTTCCGGCTATATTATTTAAAAACTGTTTCATCCATCATAATTCAAAGTTTTTGACCGTGAATATTTGCAGAGAAAACAAAATAAACGTGAAAACATTTGTGAACGTTTTATCGCCTGAAAACTAAAAGTTGAAACTTCTATGTCCCGTATTTGTAGTTCGACTTGGTATAAGCAAAACACGAAAACTTCATTTGAAAAATTTGGAGTAATTTTTTTTCCTGTCATAGAGAATTTGTTTCGCACATACTGGAAGCTACTTTGAACTACCAACATCATTTTTCTGAAAACATACAAATATACACAATACGCATTACACACAATCTTGAAAAATGGGTCTTTTAAACTCCGTTATTAACTTAAGTTATCTTTTCACTCTATAGGGTTAGATTCAAAAAATGAAGCAAAATAATAGGGTTCCCCCAATAAGTGTATCCATCCGACCTTCCCACCACAGTTCACTTTCATCAATATGTCGCTGATCTGCAAATTCTCTGTGTTCACGAACATTTCCTCGATGAAGTGTCCATTGATTGGACACTTCTGCTGGTCAAAGATAGCCCTGGAGTAGCTTTGGTCGAAAAGGTTTTGCTGGAATTCGGTCAGGTCCCCGACTATTGAAACTGGGTCGTACTGCTTCCACAATCCGGGAAGAAAGGACTCTAAAATGATTGAGCCTTTTATGATTTGAGGTGGTGCTATCAACGATAGCACCATCACAGGATTTTTCAATTCAACTCGTCAGTTATTTCATATTTTGATATTTTCATTGCACGTTTTTTTTTGTCTTAGAAATTTTTGGCAAAGCTTCTCAGCCGCTCACTCATTTTTGAGAAAACGTTACCTCATTGCCACTTTGTAAACTTTGGGCGCTTAAAGGTCAAATATTTAACTCACCTGCAAGCCCATCATACACATCATCTGCAAAAAAAGGTAGAATATTTAAATTTTTCAGCAGAAAAAGCCAAGATTGAAGATTTTTCAATTCCAAATTTACCTTGAGTGTTATATGAAGGTATCGCAAGACAGCTGAGACATATAGCCAGAGTTGTTATATAAGTCATAATATAAAATCGAATTGATAGTTAGCGGAAGAAAAAAACGAACTCAATATTATGATAATGCAACTGAATGTTACATAAGACTTAAAAGGGTTACTGACTCGGATCTTGTCTGTTACTGAATGTAATTTTAGCTAATTTCAGATTTTTGGAAATGCGAAGAAAACTCATCAAAGAATGATGAAGCAAATGAAGAGAGGCGGCTCTCTCAAAATTCTAGTTTGTTGGGATTTAAAAACGAGTCAACGCGTTTGAATTGGTAAAATTCTATTTTTGTAAAAGAAAAATTTAATCAAAAGCAGAGACTGTTTAGATGAGAAAAGAACATGAAAATTGCCAAAATTGGAAAAGCTATTAAACTGTCTCTGGACTTTATCGCTCTTTTTGATTATTTTGGCAATCGCATTTCCACAAAGAGATGAAAAAAGCACAATGATAAAACATCGAAAAAATGGAAAAACACCGATGATTCAAATCAGTTTAAGTAATTAAAATAAAATCGAATAAAAAGATGACAATGGAAAATTTCTTTCTTCTCAAACGGTAAACAAGACTGCTCGTATCAGGGCGAAGCCCTGAATGTTCCGACTGCCTTTTAAGGTCTATGTAGCAGTAATAACATGAAAAAACTGAATTTATAAAAATTAAAAAAAAAACTTTGTAATAAAAAAAATAAAAAAATTTTTAAAAAAAGTGTTAATTGTCCCAAATTGGCCGAAATGGCAATCTTTAAACCCCCATAATTTTACGAAAAACGATCACAGGTAAAAATATCTTTTCAAATTTAAGCTCAGGGCAACAATAGTTTTCGAATGATATAAGAAAATTCCGTCAAAAATGGCTAGTTAAAAAGTCGAAATTTGTCTGAAGAAAAAAAACCCACCCCGAGCACAAATATTCCGTTACTTTCGTTACGAAAGTCGGAACAAAAAGATCTGCCGGATAAAAGAATCCATAATAGACTAACACGATTCCTAATCTTTTAAAATCTTGTAAGGCTTCTACAGGAAATATGCTTTTCTAATAAGATCTCACAACCGAGGATTTGGCGTGATCTTGAATGTTACTTTTTTATATACTACCGCAGGGGCGGGCTTAGGGTTTTTTCGAGATGGGAAGATAATTTTAAAAAATATGAAGTTCTGTCATTTTTAGGTCGACCAAAATGATTTTCCGAGCTGGCGTTACAACAACATTTTGGCTGCCTGATTTGAAGAATTTGTGACTTTTTTCATAAAGAAGAATGTTTAGCTTTCTGTTAATGTAGTATTGAGATTAAGTGGAAGAAAATATTTTTCATTAAAACAATGTTAAGCTTTTTGTTAATGAAGGATTCAGTTGAAAGTCCTTGCAGAAAAAAGCTATTTTGATATTTTCTTGATACTTTTTTACATATCAAGAACCTCCTTGATAACTTTTTACACCAGTCCAACAACTGTTCGACTAGATTAAAAACAGCTAACTGAATAAGGTTGAAACAAGCTGGTAAATATAAGCCGAAATCATCCCCTTTGTTACTACTTCATTGCATCCTTTTTTCTTGCAATGAATTTTTAGCGTCATTAATTATTCAAGGGATTCCGCTATAAAAAATGCAATATATGGAGCAAAACATTTAAGTGACATGCCAAGTGGTAGTATTTTGCTTAAAATCAGTATCTCGCTATTTGCTTCAAAATTTTGCTAATTTAAATTTCGATTTTGACCTCTAAATCATTTGGTAAATGCACAAAGAAAACAAAGTTACTTTTGAGAACGTTTCATTGCTTTGTTTGAAATCTATAATCAATAAACTCTTTTCTGTAAATAATCTGTTTTATAATAATCAAAATCGGAATCAATATTTCTAACACAACATTAACATGATAATAAGACTTGGTAATCTTTTGGTCGTTGCTGTTTTTACTGCTGCTGTGCCTTATAACTTGCTTAACCAAATCCAGTCAAAACCTACTAATATAAGTAGCTCTAAAAAATCGTTGATTATCAATGGGTTCCATGCAGTGAGTCAAAGACCATTCTTCGCTCTTGTGCGCATACAGGATGCAGCAGACTACTGTGGGGCAACTATAATTCACAAGTTTTGGGTCATCACTGCTGGACATTGCATAAGCACTGCAGCTCGTAAGGTTTTCACAATCAACATTGTTAGCGTTACTATGAAAATAGTAGTGATCCATAGTAGTGCTTAGTAGTCCATAATGAGCAACTAGTCCATAGTCAACACTCAAAACATATCCAAACAAGATAAGCCGGTAACTGTGCAAGTAGCAAAGAATGTTCCGACCAAGTCTTTAAAAAGTACAAAAAAAAGGTTTTTCAAATTAGTATCTTTTTTTTTCTACGTGGTGTGATAGAAAAATCTGAACAAAAAAGTACATTTTAGGCATATTCGTCGGTCATAGTACAACAAGGAAATTGATTAGCAGTTTTGCTAGAAATATGATTAGAACATCAAAAAAAATCGAAAGTTGAAATTCAGAAGTTTTCGATTCCCAAATTTTTGCTAAAAAAATCAAAAACATACTTTTACTTGACTAAAACTATCAAATTCAGTATAAATAGGCTATTTTAAATGCCTGCTAGCTCGCCTATACTTGATCAAAAGTAGACGAAAAATCAAAAATTGCAAACCGGTTTTTTTTTTTGACACTGAAAAAAATGTTAGAGAATTTTTTTCTGTGACTCGCGTCAGGACTAAAAGTCTTAATATAATACATTACTCAATTCTCTTGATAATTATTTGTGGTAGCTAGTTTTGCGTGGAAAGCAAAAAAAAAGAGAAAAAAAAAGAAAAAAAACTGAAACACACCCGAGGTTCCTTTTAAAAAGAGTAATAGGCTGCCTGCCTGCTCGCTCTAAAATGAGATCCTAATTTCGATTATATACTGTGTTACTTTTGGGCTATGATTGAAGTTGGTTTGTCCCCGCAATGATGTTCCATGAATATAAATCAATTATAATGGATTTTCATGGTATGTTTCCATACAGTTCTGAAATTATCGATAATAATGCGTTTAATAGGCGATTATAAAACAAAGACAAGACTGCTCGTATCAGGGCGAAGCCCTGAATGTTCCGACTGCTTTTTAAGGTTTATGGAGCAGCAGTAATAACATAAAAAATTAAATGAAATAAAATACAATGAAAATTTTTTTTCTTCTAAAATTTGAAATTTTTTATGAAAATCATCCCCCACATGCCATATAAAGTACAAAAAGATATATTTCGTTCCTTTAAACAAATCAATTGTGGCAACTAAGCTTCGTTCAACCAATTTGGAACGATTTATAAGACGGATTAAATCTCCGCTTACGCGTTAATAGCGTGAAATCTATCGCGCGTTAATTGTCCCAAATTGGTCAAAATGGCCAAAATGGCAATCTTTAAACCCTCATAACTTTACGAAAAATGATCACAGGTGAAATATCTTTTCAAATTCAAGCTCAGGACAACAATGGCTTTCGAATGATATTAAAAAATTCCGTCAAAAATGGCTAGTTAAAAAGTCGAAATTTGTCTGAAGAAGAAAAAAAACCCACCCCGAGCACAAATATTCCGTTACTTTCGTATCGAAAGTCGGAACAAAAAGAGAAATCAGTTTAATCCTTTAGATGGATTATAATGGACTATAATAGATTTTTTTGAGTAAGAACCTAGATGTTCCAATATCTTAAAATCAAATATTCAATACTTGAATGTTGCAATTGCCAAAATGTGTTTTACGTTTGGCTACACCAAAAAGTTGAGTTGTTTTCTACCTGTCTTTTTTCTACTTGTCTCCTTCTCCCCTAAATACTAACTCCCATCATTCTTAAAAGTTACTCAACATTTGTTCACTTACCACCACCTCCCCTCCCATCATTTACCTCTTTCTTATATTTACCGTAAAATACATGAAGAATAACGTACGCGTGCCTCCCTTCCCCCTTAAAATGCACACATGCCTTTAACAACCCCCGCCTTTCATATTTCTACGCCCTCCTCTCAAAAAAGGAAGGGAGGTGTGTGCGTGGGGGTTCGGTAGCTGAGAAAGGGATATGTAAGAACCAGGTGGCGGGAATAGGTGGAGGAGTAGGTGGGGATTAGGTGGAGGAATAGATGGTGGGGATAACTTGTGGTGGCGTAGGTGCAGGTGGTTTGGTGGGTTGGGGAAGGGGCGGAGTGAGGGTAGGTGAAAGAATATGGTTTATCAAAATTTAACTAACGGCGAGTTGGTTTAGAAGCCGTTTAGGCTGTAAGTAATGCAGAAAAAGCTGTAAATTTTGCAGAAAATTTGGCAAAACTTATGCAGATTATAATCCATTTAATCCATTATAATGGATTTTAAATGGATTAAAATAGAGTTTTTTTTTCTGTAAAAATAATGGGTTATAATGGATCATGATCGATTGCGTGGTCCCAAAGTGTAATTATAATCGACTACAATGCCGACATTTCTGACCACGAAAGCTGATTATAAGCAGTTTTATCCATAGAAACTCACTGCGGGTCATTTCATCATCATTTGTCCAGGCAGACGATACATTTTTTACCGATGGAATGTTCGGAATCAATCTGCGATTACTGAAACTTGTTTTTGGGATGCTTTCATCTTACAAGGGTGATCAAAATTGTTTTGGCAGTAAATTGGACAATTTGTCCTAATAAACTCGGAAAAACATTGCATCACACGGGCTCTTATCCCTAACGCCGCTCATTGTCCCTGAAACTTGTCTCTAAAATTGATGTTTTCACGCTGACCAAAACGTCTGACGGATAAATGTACCGTATAAATAATTATTGTTCCGTCTTCGTAACGAATGTAACGGAATATTTGTGCTCGGGGTGGGTTCTTTTTTCTCGTAGACAAATTTCCACATTTTAACTAGCCATTTTTGACGGAATTTTCTTATATCATTCGAAAACTATTTTTGTCCTGAGCTTAAGTTTGAAAAGATATTTCACCTGTGATCATTTTTGGTAAAGTTAGGGGGGTTAAAGATTGCCAATTAGGCCAATTAGGGACAATTAACTCGAAATATTTTCGCGCTATTAACGCGTAAGCGGAGATTTAATCGGTCTTAGAAATCGTTCCAAGTTTGTTCAAGGAAGCTTATTTTCCATAATTGATTTGTTGCAAGGAGCGTAATATATCCTTTTGACTTCAAATGGCGTGTGGGAGAATGATGTTCAAA